AACGGATTAACCTTCGCTATGCGAGGCACTACTGTATTTTTAATATTTTTAGACAGCGGATAAGTGAAACTTGGCTGTATCCCACTGATACAGGGGGCCTACAGTACTTCTCTCTTTATTTTGAAGAGCTGGTTCTCAGTGGAGGGGCGACAGTCATGTAGAGTAGTCCACTGCCGTCCTCCTTTATCAGCATTTTAAAGGTTAAGGAAATACAGATGGTTGCTATAAAATGGAATGGAGGAACCATGGTGGGTTCTAATCCCTCTCCCTCTGAAGTGCGTCCCCCCGGGATCCCCGTTCATTGTGATGATAGGAAAGAGCTTACATGCAAACGGGGGGGGAGGGGGGCTCTAATTAGAGAGATCTAAGGGACGTGGTGGCGCAGAAGCCTCTGTGCTGCAAGGTCGGAAGACCAGCCGTCGTAAGATCGAATCCACGCCACGGAGTGAGCTCCCATCGCTTGTCCCAGCTCCTGCCAATCTAGATGTTCAAAAGCATGTAAAAATGCAAGTAGATAAATAGGTATCACCGGTGGGAAGGTCACAACATTCCGTGTCTAGTTGCGCTGGCCACGCGACCACAGAAACTATCTACAGACAAAACGATGGCTCTGTGGCTTGGAGATGGGGATGAGCATCGCGGCCTAGAGTCTGACACGACTGGACTAAATGTCATGGGGAACCTTTACCTTTACCTAGACATAAATAAATGATGCAAGAGAGATTTCTATTATTTTCATTCCCTCTCCCTTGACTTATGTGGGGCTGAACATAGCTCACAACGAAATAAATTACACTAATCATAGCCATCATCATCACTCTTAGAAATGTGGAGCTGGAAGGGACCCTAGGGATCATCGAACCCACAGCCTGTCAAGGAAGCACTGAGCAGAATCTTAACTCCCAACCCCTGGCTGTGCAGCCAGATATTGTATTAAAAACAAGATGGGCTTTAAAAGTTCGGCATCCATCCCCTGAAAGCTTCTTATTGTTGAAAATATCATCCGATAAATTCACACAAATTTTCTACCAATTAATTCTCTTTCCAACAGCTGATTTCCTCCCAAAGGGTTAAAGCCATTGACTTCTGAGTCCCAGAAAGTCACACAGGAATGATAGATAAGGGTGCTGAAAGTTTACTTCCTGTTTCCGACTCTGAGGTGCGTCGCTGTTCCCCTTCCCGCCAGAGGCCTGTCCTGGACGTTCCGGATGGTAGTGCAGGTGCTTATTGGAATGGGGGAAGGTGGCAGGACGTCTCTTTAGCTTAGGAAGGGGGCCGGAGGGCCTGGAGAAGGGGGTCCTCAGCTGATGGGGAATCCCTGGAAGAGCCAGACACAGCTGTCTTCCTCCCGTCCCAATCCAGGGCAGGGAAACCTTCTCTGGGGATCATCCCCCAAAACTCACCTTCGCCTCCCGAAACCCCCTATATTTTAGGTTGCAGACCTCACTCTACCGGGACCCCCTTTGAACTGGGATAGCGGGATACCAGTTTCCCAGTGATTGGCATCTGGCCTGGTCTATGAGTGTTGGGGTGTGCACGCTGGATTAGGAGGAGACAGACTGGGAAGGTGGGGATCGAGTGGTCCCCAATCTTTGGCCTCCAGATGTTCTTGGACTCCAACTCCCAGAAATCCTGGCCAGCAGAGGTGGTAGTGAAGGCTTCTGGGAGTTGTAGTCCAAGAACCTCTGGAGGCCCAAGGTTGGGAACCGTTGGTAAGTGACCCTTTCCCTTTTCTTGTCTGGAACGAGGGGTGATTTCTCTGAGGGATCCATCTGGGCTTTTCTCACAGGGCCTGACACTAGATAGCCAATCTGTTAATATTATTTAATATAGCCAATCTTTTAATATTATTTAATATAACTTTGATTGTTGTAATATTAATGCTATTTACAATACATTTAATATTATTATTATTTTGCTATTATTTTGGGATCTGGATCTGATCACTTAAACCTGCTTAAATCAACGGATGATTGTTCATGTATCTCCAGCTGCCAGATCCTAGGGTGCTTCCTGAAGTCAACCTCTCCAAGCTCCCTGAAAAAAAATTCTTCCTCAGCTCTGAGTATGAATGAGGTAGATGGATCACATGGTTCATCCTTCCCAGAGATTCCCTTTTACAGGGGTAATTCGGTCCAGAACCAGTTACATCCCATTCACAAGCCTCACCTGCATCACCACACTCACATATACCATAACAACCCACGCTGTGTCTATGGGTTAGTCTATAAATCTCTAAGAATGGGTGCTGCTAATGTAACCAGCTTGCATCCTGCGACTAAATCCGAGCAGCCAAATTCTGGCCTTGGCAAACCTTCCTTGGCTTGTTGAGCCTTTCAGAAGTCAAAAGACGCAGCCTGGAGAGCCAGAACCAGTGATGAATAAGAAAATGTGCAGTCTTTGGGGACTCATTGGAAGGAAGAGGTGGACATTGCATGACACGGGAACTCATCCTGCATGAATCTTTGGTCTGTTCTTGGTTTTGATGTTTCTAGAATGGACTCTCCTTGTATGGAAGTATGTCTCAGAACATAAGAATCCCAAGAGGAACATGGTGGGCTTGGTTTGGTGAAGTTTTAAAACAAAACAGAGTGTCCCAAAGTCCTCTTGTTTTTTGCAAGCTTGACTTACTTGCTTATTTACTTTGTTTGTTTGTTTATCAATTTATATACTGCACATCTAGCAAATTGGTACCTGGGGCAGGCCACATAGACAGAATACATAACATTAACTGGCTTAGAATGAGGTCATAGAACAAGGTCCTTAATATTCTGTTCCTTGGCAAGGTGTTGGTGCGTATGGTCACTTCTTAGCACCAAGATTTACTGGGGAGATTTTCTAATTGTTTTATAGCCTGTAAGTCATCAACAACTATGAAGCTGGTTCAAAGGTAGGAAATGGTGGCTATTAAAGACGAGAAAATGATCCCTTCTCTGTTTGAAACCCTTTTCTGTTAGAGACAGCATTACACCGGGGCAACTGAGGAGCAGTTTCTGTTCATAGTGAAAATGTGTGTTAAAGAAAAATCAAGTGCTATTGGCAAAAGTTGGGGTGAAGGACAAACTGAATCAAGGAGGAAGACTCTGGAGAAGGCAGCGAGTGTGTGCAATGAGATCAGAAGCTGTTGAGAACAGATTGATGGATGGGTGTACTATCCTCTGATGATCAGTGAGAACCAGCCTTTGACTGATGTCTGAAACATTCCAGAAGTTTCCAGAGTCTTGAATATTCCCCCACATATTCATGTTTCTTTGTCCTTTCTAGAAAGGAGAAAGCTCATTCACTTCCATTCCTTTGACTCTTCTGGGGGCTGCATATGTTGGAGATTAGGTTTTAGTAAGTGTATTATTCTATTTTATTTTATCATTTTTGTAAGCCGCCCCGAGTAGACTTTGTCTAGAGGGGCGGGGTATAAGTCTAAATAAAGTAAAGTAAAATATGAAAGTAGAGGGCTCTGCCAGTCCCAAAGAAGCAGCCATTTAGTTTTCGCTAAATATGAGTTTTATCTGTTACTATTTCTCTTCATATTATTTCTTTCCTTTCCTCTTCAGGCAGGCTTTTAAAGCAGTCAGTGATGTGATCTCAGAAAGGCTGGTTTCTAACTTGCGGATTTATAAATGTTTTTGATTCTTTTTTAACTTGATTGTTTAATATTAATACATGTTTGATTTTTTTAGATGTGTTATTTATATAATATTTTTACATTTGTTGTTTTATCTGTTGTGAGCTGCCTTGGGTCCCCTATGGGGGGGAAGGTGGCATATAAATAATTTAAATAAATAAATAAATACTGTAAGCTGCCATGAGTGCTATCCTTTTAGGTGAAAGATGGGGTGTAAATGTGATTAATAAATAAAAATAACATCCACGCTCATTTCATAAAACTTAAAACAGTTTCTCTGCCCTCCTACTGTGATTAAACGAAATAAATATTCCTCACAGTCTTTCTCTCTTTCCCTTTCATTGTATCCCACCTTTCTCTGCAATCTGGGACTCAAGGCGGCTCAGAGCAGATTTTAAACGGGAAAAAAGACGGACAGAGACAACAATAAAAAAATGCCCACCGATTTTTAGAAGTCCAACATCTGTCCATTAAAAGCGTATTTCTTTAATGCTGTTGGATAGGTACCTCAGCGATTTAGGCATCTGACTGACAGGGACTGGAATCGATGATCCCGAGAGTGCCTGCCAACCTTTACGCCCTTCTCTTTTAACCACCCTATTTACCTGCCAGAGGTCCTCCAAAGGAGGCAGAGCCATGGAATCCTAGTTCCTAGATGAGTCCACAGAAAAATAAGAAGTCACTTCCTGTTTCCGCCCCCAAGGTGCGCCCCTCTTTTCCTTCCCGGAAGAACCTCCTCCCTCCTTCAGAGTTCCGGGCAGAACTGACTTAGGAAAGCCGGTAAGCCTCAGGCTGGGAGAAGGAGGGAGGTGGGGCAGCGCTTGGGGAAGCTGGTTGTGGGGCTTGGCTTGAGGGAGAAAGAGAGGTGGAAGAAGGGGAGCCTCAGCTGGCGGGGAGTCCCTGGAAGACCCTCCCTCCCTTCGTTCCTTCCTTCCTTCACGGCCAGGGCAGGTGAACCTTCTCCGGGGATCGTCCCCCAAACTCCCCTCTTCCTCCTCCTCCTCCTCCGAGGGCTCCTTCCTCCACAGTTTGAAAACACACACAATGAAACAAAGAAGAGTAGAATAATCCTAAATGCACCAAAAACATAGCCGTCAATTCAGGATAGGTAGTATCCCATCATCTTAGTTAGAGTCCTATATTTTAAAAACAAAGCATTTAAAAAAACAAAGCCCTTCCAGTACCATTTTTTCTCTCTTCACCCACCTTCCTCTTCCATGCCTTCTTGTGGGCGTTTTGGAATACAGCTGTTTTTCCCCCCTCCTGGAGATCACATTTGCTTGGATCTGCTTCTGGTGAGGCAGGTGACAGTCATGGGACCGTGTGGGGTTGGGAGAGACCTCCAGCAGTGTTGAGTGAACATCCTTTTCTACCCACAAAGGAGCCTCCAAGGGCTAAATCACTTCGAAGACGGGACAGGCCCCTTCGCCCTCCTCCCCTGTCTTTGAATCCTTCTCTGGGTTTAAAACCAGTGAAAAAGCACTTTCTAATTGTAATGCAAGTTTTACCATGGGGAGAAGGTAGTCCCTGGTGATGGTGGGGTTAGAAAACATGTGGAGAGCACAAACTTTAGAGAGTCTGTAGAGTGGGATTGCGTGGTCAGTTGCTTTCTCCTCCTTCAGTCTCTGTCTCACATAAAAGAGCTTTTCCCAAGCTTTGAGCTTGCCCCTGAGTTTTGTGATGTCTTTACTTTTCCTACAGAGGGAAAAGGCAGTCCATTTCCTTCCATTCTTTTGGCTCTTATTGGAGATGAAATTGGAGGTCTCAGCCAGTTCTGGAGCTGGAAAGGAGCTGAATGACATGGAGGGTTGGAGCAAGGAGGAATTCCCAGAAAGAACTGGACAGAACAACCTTGATACGGATTCTCTTGACCCGGAGGTCCAGTGCCAGGATTTTCGGGAATTCAGCTACCAGGAGGATGAAGGGCCTCGAGTGGTTTGTAGTCAACTTCATCGTCTCTGCCGTCAGTGGCTGAAGCCAGAAAAACACACCAAGGCTGAAATCCTGGACCTGATTGTCCTTGAACAGTTCTTGGCTGTCCTGCCACCAGTGATGAAGATCTGGGTTAGAGAGTGCAAGCCAGAAACCGCTTCCCAGGCCGTGTCGCTGGCGGAAGGTTTCCTCCTGAGCCAGAGAGTGGATAAGGAGGAAGAAGAGGAGCTGGTGAGAGTTCAGGTCTATCGTTTTTTTATAAGTTGCCGAACCAAACATTTCTGCTCTTGTATTCTCTAAGGTTTTTATGGCTGGGATCCAATCACAGTGACAGACCGTCTTCCCCCCCCCATCACAACAATACACCCATTTAAAAAAACACCCTGATCACTATAATCACCCAATCTCCTGAAAAGGACAAAAAGCTGATCCCACAGCTACAAATAACAGAATCACACATTATAACAGAACACAGACAGTGTTCTAACTCCTGTCCTCTGAAGATGCCTGCCACAAAGATTGGTGAAACGTTAGGAAGAAAAACCTTCAGCAAAACAGCCCGAAAAACCTACAACAACCATTTCCACTTTTCTTCCTAAATCTGATGTTCTTTCCTATACTGTTAGTTTGTAAATTTGTTCCTCTCTTCCAGTGTTGGGTATCCAGACTTTGCTGTGTGTGTGTTTGTGTGTATTTTTTTTTGTACAGAGTTCTTCAAAATCTGTCCCTGGCTTCCCTCTGGCAGTTCTTCAGAATCTGTCCCTGGCTCCCCTCTGGCAGTGGACTCTCCTTTGTCCCTCAAGCAGAGGCCACTGCTCCCGAGGAACAGGCTGGAGGGGATCGGAGGAGCCCTTTCATGGGGTAAGACCCAGTCAGCCCATTTCTTCTCAATCTCCCTTCTTTGCATCTTTCCAAAGCCAACGAATGGACTTTTAGGCCTTCTGTGTGCAATTCATGAAAGACTGGTGGATCAAAGTAGGAAAATTCTTTTTTTAAGTAAGTTGGGGATAAAATTCATGTGAAGAATAAGAGATCTTTCCTTGCAGGCATTGAAAATATGCAGGGAACTTCTCCCTCATCTCTCCTTTGCAGAGGAATGGAAGCTGTGCCTGTGCAGCCAGAAGAGGTAAAGGGGATTGGATGGGGAGATGGGGAAGGCACCTGGGCACCTTTGTTTCCTGTCTGCCTCCTCGGCTGGATACCGTTTGCCCATTCCATTCGCTTCTTTCAATATTGTGTAGTAAATGGCCTGGCGGTTTCCTCAGGGAACGGTTCAGTCCCAGCCCTCTGGTTGTGTTCATTCTCTTCTGGACAGCACGTAATAGGAGTCAAACAACCACATTGTCTCTGAGGATGAAAGGCTTCCTCTTCTTTCAGGGTCCTGTAACCTTTGATGATGTTGCCGTGAATTTCACAGAGGCGGAGTGGGCATTGCTGGATCAAAACCAAAGGGCCTGCCACAGGGACGTCATGGAGGAGACGCGTGAAAATGTGGTGGCTTTGGGTGAGCTTTGCTTTTTTCCCTTCAGTCAAGAAATCCACAGTTCAAATAGTACCAAAGAATATGTAGTGCATCACTGCTGTGAACATTCACAAGTTGAAAGAGAGGAGAACTTTCAAGGTTTCTCTCTCCTTAGCAAGCTAGGTGGTTTTAGACACTTGGGCAGTAAGTCCTACCAAAGATCGACAATAAGAGACGTCATTAAAAATAAGTAACAATTCAGATAGGATATTACAGTTTTTCTTTCTGTAGCACAATAGGTGGCGTTTAGACCCTTGGATGCTCAGTCCCACTGCAAATCCACAATAAAACAGGTGAAAAACGAGTAGTCACTCAAATAGGATATTCGATTTCCGATGTAAAGGTCTAAAGCTTAATCCTCACTAATCGATACAGTCCCCAGAAAGCATAGAAGAAAAGACTAGTGGTATGCCTTCCCCTTTAGAGAAACAGGAAAAGGACGTGGGACAAAGGACATGGGACAAAGGCAGTTTGAAGAGTATCAAACTGATTGTAGGTGCAGGAGGTCTAAGAGTCAAAAAAGGAGACAGCCAAGCTTTTCCTGACATTTGTTCCCAAATCTTCCTTCTTAGAGAATGCCAGGCAAACATGCACAGCAGCCCAAGGTGTTAACTTCCAGTCTGCTGTCCTTTCAAATATTTTAATGGATATTCAGAGGATGGAACACAAACTGTGCTATATTTTCCATTTTGGTTCCAATAGGATTCTGTTTTTCTTATTTCAGCCCGTGATGTAAGAGACAGCAAGAATGAGGAAGAATTGCATGGGGTATGCCTGGACAGAGTCATTGGTAAAGAGAGTGAACATCAAGGAAGGAGAAATGAGGCCAAAACACATGGAAGAAATGAATCTTCTGCTTCTCCATACAGAGTGCTTCTCCAGACAGAGATTCACATGATGCCTTGCTCCAAGAAAATGCGGAGAAAAGCAAGGAAAGGGGTAAATGTCTGTGCATAAATAACTGCAGCTGTAAAGTCAGTGTAAGTGCTAATTGGACAGTCCACATGGGAAAGAAACTGCTGGAAATCCCAGAATGCGCCACAAATATTAGTCCTAAGTCAGCGCTTGAAATTCATGAAACATTTCAATGCTTGGAAAATGGAAAGAGCTCCCAGCAGAGAGCGAGCCTCATTTTCCCTCAGGGAACTGACACAGAGAAACCCTTTAAATGTGTAGAGTGTGGAAAGAGCTACAGCCACAGCACATATCTGCTTTCTCATCTGAGAACCCACACTGGGGAGAAGCCGTTTAGATGCTTGGAATGTGGAAGGTGCTTTAGTCACAACACATATCTCGTTTCTCATATGAAAACCCATACAGGAGAGAAACCATATAAATGCCTGGAATGTGGAAGGTGCTTTAGTCACA